GTTTGCAGACGACACCAAATTGGGAGGGATAGCCAATACTCCTGAGGACAGGAGCAGGATTCAAAACGATCTTGACAGATTAGAGAGATGGGCCAAAACTAACAAAATGAAGTTCAAGGGACAAATGCAAGATACTCCACTTTGGCAGAAAAAATGAAATGCAAAGATACAGAATGGGGGACAATGCCTGGCTCGAGAGCAGTACGTGTGAAAAAGATTTTGGAGTCCTCGTGGACAACAAGTTAAACATGAGCCAACAATGTGATGTGGCGGCAAAAAAAGCCAATGGGATTTTGGCCTGCATCAATAGGAGCATAGTGTCTAGATCTAGGGAAGTAACTATTCTGCTTTGGTTAGACCACACCTGGAATATTGTGTCCAATTCTGGGCACCACAATTGAAGAGAGATTTGACAAGCTGGAATCAGAGGAGGAGGGCGACTAAAATGATCAAGGGTCTGGAGAACCAGCCCTATGAGGAGCGGCTTAGGAGCTGGGCATGTTTAGCCTGAAGAAGAGAAGGCTGAGGAGATATGATAGCCATGTATAAATATGTGAGAGGAAGTCACAAGGAGGAGGGAGCAAACTTGTTTTCTGCTTCCCTGGAGATTAGGACGCGGAACAATGGCTTCAAACTACAAGAGAGGAGATTCCATCTGAACATGAGGAAGAACTTCCTGACTGTGAGAGCCGTTCAGCAGTGGAACTCTCTGCCCCGGAGCATGGTGGAGGCTCCTTTTTTGGAAGCTTTTAAACAGAGGCTGGATGGCCATCTGTCAGGGGTGATTTGAATGCAATATTCCTGCTTCTTGGCAGGGGGTTGGACTGGATGGCCCATGAGGTCTCTTCCAACTCTTTGATTCTATGATTCTATGAATGTCTGTTGAAGAATGACTGCTAGAGAAGTGTGTTATGCTTTGAATGAGTTTGAGTAGAAAAGAAAGAAAAAGATCTTGGAGTCCTCGTGGACAACAAGTTAAACATGAGCCCACAATGTGATGTGGCGGCAAAAAAAGCCAATGGGATTTTGGCCTGCATCAATAGGAGCATAGTGTCTAGATCTAAGGAAGTAATGCTACCCCTCTATTCTGCTTTGGTTAGACCACATCTGAATATTGTGTCCAATTCTGGGCACCACAATTCAAGAGAGATGTTGACAAGCTGGAATGTGTCCAGAGGAGGGCGACTAAAATGATCAAGGGTTTGGAGAACAAGCCCTATGAGGAGTGGCTTAAGGAGCTGGGCATGTTTAGCCTGAAGAAGAGAAGGCTGAGAGGAGATATGATAGCCATGTATAAATATGTGAGAGGAAGCCACAGGGAGGAGGGAGCAAGCTTGTTTTCTGCTTCCCTGGAGACTAGGACGCGGAACAATGTCTTCAAACTACAAGATAGGAGATTCCATCTGAACATGAGGAAGAACTTCCTGACTGTGAGAGCCGTTCAGCAGTGGAACTCTCTGCCCCAGAGTGTGGTGGAGGCTCCTTTTTGGAAGCTTTTAAACAGAGGCTGGATGGCCATCTGTCAGGGGGATTTGAATGCAATATTCCTGCTTCTTGGCAGGGGGTTGGACTGGATGGCCCATGAGGTCTCTTCCAACTCTTTGATTCTATGATTCTATGATTCTATGATATAGAAGTCTGTCAGAATGAAGTTAGAAACTATTGAGTCTTGTGTTTTATTTGAAAAGTAAACTCTTCTTAAAGAGAGCTGTATGTAGCAACATAGTTTATGAAGAAACTGTTAAAGATTATAAGTTCACGATACAAACTCTCTGAGTTTCAGAGAGTTTGCATCTCTGAAAGAAACATGCCTATATCTTTAAATACATGAAGATATCAGTAAACAAAACTTATCTTTAAAAGAAGTCTGCTTGCACCTTTGTCTGCTGAAAGCATCGAACAGAAACAAAATATTTACACACCCAGCGGTCATCCATTACCAAATAAACTCTGCTACCCTGATCAGGTTGTGATCCTAACAGTTCTTGATCTATACACTGATGTTCAGTGATCCTAACGGTCATGATCCATTGTCCCCAATAGGAACTGGCAAAAACCACCTCTCTACTCCATTACTAAGAAGACCGTATAATATTCATAAGGTCACCATATATTGAACGGTGATGTGAAGGTACTTCACACATGAAGACCATTTCCCCAAAACATTTCTGTCTAGAACTTCCTGAGGATGGGTGTGCTGGAATTCAACCTCACACTGCCCAAGTCTGTTCGGAAGCTTCAAATGGTCCAGCGTTCGGCAGCCAGGTTGCTAACAGGAGTGGCTCTCAGGGAGCATACAACTCCTCTGTTGCGCCAGCTCTGCTGGCTGCCAGTTTGCTACTGGGCACAATTCAAAGTGCTAGCGTTAGCCTATAAAGCCCTAAATGGTTCTGGCCCTACTTACCTCTCCGAACGCATCTCCTCCTATGAACCGACTAGGACACTAAGATCATCTGGGGAAGCCCTGCTCTCTGTCCCGCCTGCATCACAGGCGCGCTTGGCGGGGACGAGAGACAGGGCCTTCTCAGTGGTGGCCCCTCGGCTGTGGAACGCCCTGCCTGCAGATATCAGATCGGCCCCCTCCCTGCTGGCGTTTCGGAGGAAAGTGAAGACCTGGCTGTTCGAACAAGCATTCGATTAAACAGTGTAATTGAACATAGGAATACGGAATAATGGATGTTGAGACTGGATTCTGATTTTACTGTTGAGGCGCTAATGATTGTTATACTAATGTTTAATTGTTGATGCTATAATCTGTTTTAATTGCTTTATACTTGTCTTGTGATGTTTTGCATTGATGTTGTTAACCGCTTTGAGTCGCCTGAGGGCTGAGAAGAGCGGTATATAAGTAAAGTAAATAAATAAGTAAATAAATAAATAAATAAGTCTGCAGTCCTCAGTGAGGAACAGTTAGCTTTAGAATTGGCTGAGGGAATCCCTTCCCGCCTAGCTCCTGAATGTCTGTTAATTTATCGATTTGTTCTCCCTCTGTCTTTTTCCTTCCACTTTTCTAACTGAAACTTCATGGCTTACTTCTGCTTTAGAGAGAAGCTCAGACCCAATTTTTTACTGTCAAGGAATGTAGTTATTATATTTTTGTAAATAAATATTTTGAAACCTTATTTATTAATTAATTTTATTTACTACGCTTCTATACTGCCATTCGCAGCCCGAGGGCGACTCATGGCGGTTTACAAAACGGCACAATTTGATGCCCACAACAGTACAAGTAATCATGCATACAGAACAATACAAGGAGAAGATCAGAAAACTCCTGGACCCTACTATATACAAAAAACTCAAGCAAGACCCAACTTCCAAAATAACCAGGAAAACCAACACTCTGATTAAGAACTCCTCAATCAACTTTGACATACGACAACAGCTATGTAAATCGGAAGCCCTTCCACCCAGGCTTTATGGACTCCCAAAAATCCATAAGGACTCCACCTCACTCAGACCCATCGTGAGTGCCATTGGATCCCCCACATACGACCTAGCAAAATTTCTTGCTGCACAGTTACAAAGCCATATTGGGCTCACTACACACTACATCAAGGACTCAGCCCACTTCATAGAAAAAATCAGCAATCTCAAGCTAAATACAAATGACAAACTGATCAGCTTCGATGTGGTATCTCTATTTACCATGGTCCCAGTAGCAGACACCATGGCACTCATCAACCAGAAGTTCCCAGAAGACATCACAGCTCTGTTTCACCACTGCCTCACCACCAGTTACTTTAAGTGGGACTATGAATTCTACGAACAGAAAGATGGAGTACCTATGGGGAGCCCTCTCAGCCCGGTCATAGCTAACTTCTACATGGAACACTTTGAAAAACAAGCCCTGGAGACAGCAACCAAAAAGCCCACGATATGGTTCAGATATGTGGATGACACCTTCACCATTTGGAGCCATGGAGAAGAAGAACTCAACAGGTTCCTGGACCATCTTAACAGCATCCACCCAAAAATCCAATTCACAATGGAAAAAGAAAATGAAGGAAGACTGCCTTTTCTAGATGTCCTAGTCATCCGCAAACCAGATCAACAATTGGGTCACACCGTCTACAGAAAACCCACGCACACAGATAGATATCTACATAAAAACTCCAACCATCACCCAAGTCAAAAAAGAAGCACCATTAAAGCCTTGGCAGACCGTGCAAAAAGAATCTGCGAACCCCACCTCCTCCAAGATGAACTGAACCACCTCAACTGGGCTCTCCAGGCCAATGGATACTCCACCTCAGACATCAGAAGAGCTGCAAGACCAAGAACAAGCCATGAGAGTAAAGATGAAGATCCACCCAGAGGAAAAGTGTTCCTGCCATACATCAAGGGAACCACTGACCGCATAGGGAAGCTGACGAGGCAGCCAGGCCTTCAAATGCTAATGAAGGTGGTCAGCTGAAACATTCACACCTAGCTTCAGCAGAGAGCTCTTTGCCCCACCCCAGTCATTCCACAGATATATAAACCCATTTTCCTATTTCCAACAGACCTCACTACCTCTGAGGATGCTTGCCATAGATGCAGGCGAAATGTCAGGAGAAATGCCTATAGAACATGGCCCTATAGCCCGAAAAAACCTACAAGTACAAAAATAGTTTAAACATTAAAAACATTTAACATAGATAAAAATTCATTACAATTAACATCAATAAACATAATAAAGATTGAACTCTGCATCTTTGCCTCCTAAGCTCAAAATTCTTTTGCAGCCACAAGACTTCACCTTCTGCTTGCTGTGAGCTGACTGCTCAGTTAAGTATCCTGTTTATGTTTTTGGATGCTCTGCTGTTTTTGGGAGATTTCCCTAATGGGGAAGTGTCTTTTTGGCTTTCACTACTACCTAGGGATTCTGGGAGTGGCAATCTAAAAGACGGCTCTTCCTCAGGCCCAGAGGGATTGCCACTTTTGAGTCTTCCTTGCCTAAGGAAACATGACCATGGATCCAAATTTTCCCACTCACTCTCTAAGCTAGGCGACTATGCCTAGGTGTTCTTGGGCAGATGTGGGGGCATCTCAGTGAGTTTCCAGAGCTTCTCTGCCTGGTCTTTGATGTTAATCTTCTCCAGCACCCTGGCTGCCACCTCTGTAGCATAATTCTCAGTGTAGTATCTGCACAGGAGCTCAAACAGTTCCAGCACGTCTGCCTTCTCCAGCCGCCCTTTGGGGATGTTGTTATAGCCTTTCCTGACTGGGATTTCACTGAGTTTCCTCTTAAACCTCCTGAAATCCTCCTCCTTCAAGTTCTCCAAGATGTCCAGAAGGTGGTCACCAGGGGTCACTGCCTTTTGGTGGCTCATCAGGTCTGGTGTTGGCACCTCTGTCAAAGTAAGACATCACATCAAGAAACAATTCTGCACCAGGGATTTTACCAGTCAGTAATAGCAGATTTTCCTGGTTGATTGTACAGTTGGCCCTCTACACTGGTAGGTTTAACTTAATAATAATGCTCTACATCTGTCTTATCCCACTTATCTCAGCCTAACCCCCCACAGAGATAGGAGTAAACAAGCATCACAACACAGTGTAAGTGAACACAAGTGGCTGCAAAGTTTGCAGGGAAAGTATATTCAAGCTTTATAGAAGTTTATCATCTCATCAAGACAACTCTTTCACAGATTTGAATGAAAACTTTTTTCATCTTTCATTGTTGTCATATACAGTGAGAATGGTAGAGAATTCTGTAACTCTTGGATTGTGGGCTGGGTGGGCCAACTAGGTACTGGCTCTTTGCCACCAAGCAACCCCGATTCCAGCAGGTTGGAAAGATTAAAAACAACCTAGAATAGAAAGAGAAACTCACCTCTTGCTTTTGTTGTTTTGTTTCTACTTATTTTTTGGTCTCTTGAGAGCATGATTTAAAAGCAATATATTTTAAATGACAGTAGATATTTTTTGGACAACTGAAATACAACTTCTGAAGACCTGCCAAATATTTATGCATAGGCATATCTTTGTTCTCAAAAGTTCAGAGAGATAACCAGGTATATCAGTCTAACAGTTGAGAAGTCTAAATTGCCTTGCATGAATACTAGTGGATATTTATTTACCACTAAGGAGAAGATTGACTCAAGCGAGTTTTTAACTCTTCTCAGGAAGATCATACTTTATTAAAGGTTATCTCTAACAAGATCATGCCTTTCCAAAAGGTTATGAATATTCCAAATAGTGTGAATGCAATTAATTTCCAAAAGGGTCACACTTCCAAAAGCCTGTGGAGATTCCTGGTTTTCCAAAATTTTCTAATGAAGATAAGCATTTGGAACCCCTAAAAGCTGAATAAACACCATGCAACCAACTTAGGTAGGTAGTCTCCTGACATTAAGTCCAGTCATGTCTGACTCTGGGGTGTGGTGCTCATCTCCATTTCTAAGCCAAAGAGCCAGCGTCGTCCGTAGACACCTCCAAGGTCATGTGGCCGGCATGACTGCATGGAGCGCCGTTACCTTCCCGCCAGAGCGGTACCTATTGATCTACTCACATTTGCATGTTTTCGAACTGCTAGGTTGACAGAAGCAACCAACTTACTTGGACAGAATTCAGTCTTTACTACCAAGCCATCAACAGATCAATCTACAATTTGTGTTTCATCTATAAAAATGTAGATGATAAAATAAGAAAATATGTCTTTGTGGTCTAGAAAATGAGAACAATTATTTTCCTTTGCACAGAGAATAAATAAGGCTATTATGCAAACTACTATTGGTGGGATTGGAGGGGAGGAATCAGCAAAACTAATCCTTCTTGTGGAAGAGCATGGGTTTTAGGTTGAGAGTGCCACGTCTGTGGTTTTCTGATCCAATTGCTGCCTCCCCCCTCTTGTCCAGTAAGAAGCCACTGTGGAAGCCATGGATGTGTCTTGATAGTCAATAAGGTGGAGCTGAACACAAGCTATGATCAATTGAGGTATAGCAGTGGTTCTCAACCTGTAGGTCCCCAGATGTTTTGGCCTTCAACTCCCAGAAATCGTATCAGCTGGTAAACTGGCTGGGATTTCTGAGAGTTGTAGGCCAAAACACCTGGGGCCAAAACACCTGAGGACCCACAGATTGAGAACCACTGTCGTAGAAGTATGAGCAAGATCCATTTAAGGAGGATCTTGCTCATATTTCTAGGACCAAATCAAGCCTGCAATTGAACTTGGGCTCCTAGTCTGGTGTGAGTCCCTCATGCAAACATGTTTTGCATTTTCAAGCACTGGACATGCCCAAGAGTCTTCCTCACCTTCCGTGGGATGTAAAACAGTACAGTTCAATTCTTCTGAAAGAAAAGAGGAAAAGCAGAGAATCAGAAGGAGAAACTGGGTGGGATAGTTGTCTCAATCCTAAATCCCATGCTTTGGTTCAGTTATTGCCCATACTCACCTTTTCTTATGGAGGCCACCCAGACTTTTGCATGTGAGGACTTTTCAATCAAGGAAAGCTGAAGTGTCTTCTTCATGTCATCTGCAGACAATTCAAGGTACTGCTGCTCCATGTCTGCAGGCAGGTATTTAAACTGCAAGTCCTGTGGAAGTGGGTGGGAATTCAGAGTGTGTCACTATTACTTAGCTCACAGGTTTTCACCTAGCTCAGCTTTGTTATTTCAGGTGGGAAGAGGTTGGGCCCAAACTTAATATAAGTAAAAGAAAATCCCCTCATGTAAATAAAATATAACTGCATCTTAAACAGGTAGCAATGCAAAGTTGGTATGCTGGCAAAATTTATGAGTCTCACTTCTGGACAGATGGTGAAACCAGATGTGTTTTTCAGAACAAAATTGGATCCAATAGTCAGAGCCTTTTTGGTCTCAGGCGGTTTTCGAATTCTCTGTGTATTATACTTCAGTTCATGCTCATGGACAGCCTGGGATAAGAGAACAGAATTGTAAGAGATTGTAAGAAATCAGTTAATGTATGTGTGTCAGCTGTAAAACAAGATGCATGAAGCTGATTGGGGGAGATGGCTGAACCTGGGACTTTTGGATACTGTTACACTTTTCAGGCTTGAGCTATGCAGGTGCTCAGAGAGAAGCAGAGACAGAAGCCTGCATACACACACACACACACACACACACATACACACAGAGATTGATTTGCTTCTTGGCTGCTAAAAGAAGGTCTCTCACATGGACACAGCAAGGACCATTTTAAATCTCTCTAAAAGGACACTGTGTGAGTTAATGCAACTGTTCACATAATTTTATATATGTTGCTCTGCATTATGAAGAGTAAACTTCTTGTTCTTTATTGATCATCTGCGTGGCATATTTCCTTTCTTTGGTAAGATAGTGTGTGGACTAGTCAAACATGAACTACACGTGATTTTATTTTCATCACAAAAATCACTCTTGAGGCATGTAGAAAGATATTAAGGACTTTACTGCACAAGGTCCTGGATTTACAAACCTGTCCTTGTAGTGTAGACAGGTTAGCTTCTCTTGATTGCTTACTACCTTGCTGAAAGTACTTTCAAAAAGGTAACTGTGCTTTCAATTTAGTGCACCAGCACAATTTATACCATCCCAACCCATGCACTCCCCCTCCTTGTCCATGACTATGTTTTTACCAGAATTGTGAAGCTCTGAAATTTAGATCATCTTCTTATTTGAAATTCTCCATGCTACCTACTAACATGCAACACTTAGGAAAGTTAGGTTTCCACTTACCATTCTTAAGGAAGGGTCATTAGGAAGAAGGTAAAAGTGTAATTTCAGGAACGGGACTTGAAGGTCTTGGTACAGCAGTGCCGCTGCATGGATCTTGCCCTTTAGTTTAAGCCACAGTTTCTTAGAAACAGCTCCAAGAGGAGAGAATGTGGGATTTTTCATTTCCACATAATATGGCCACACTGAGCTTGGGGACTCCAAGCTCATCCCTCCTTTAACGAAATGTGCAATATGGAGTCTGAAATAGTCTTCCTCTGTCGAAGGAATACAGTGGAAACCTTCTTCATTAACAGCAACTTGCTTAGGACACTTGTTGAGAAGGAGGCTCTAACATTATTAAAACTACTCATTCACACGAGGTGCACTTACTTACGTTGTAGAATTTACAGTTTGACACAAGTTTAACTCTTATAGGTCAGTGCTCTGGAATCCTGG